CTGCGCACACACAGTTAAGCGTACTTAGCGCTGACTTCACACCTTAGCTTTTGTGCACCTGGCCTCACATGTCACAGCTTTGTCTGGTACGCAGTCACTTCCATTGTGTTTAATGAGACAAAATTAACCCGTTATGCGTACAACTCAGTGGGTTTTACTATGTTCACAAATCTGTACAACCATCACAGCTGTCTAATTCCAGAGCATTTTCAACCACCTTAAAGAAAGCCCATGCCTCCAGGGATTTAGCTCAGTGGCACCATGACTGCCTTGAAAGCGCAAGGTAGTGATTTCAATCCTGGTACCAAAAAAACCCCAAAAAGCCAAACCAAACAAAAAAAGAAAGCCCATGCCTATTAGCAGCCACTCCTGACTTTCCTCTCCGCACATTCCTTGTCAACCACCAGTCTACTTTCTAGCTCTAGGAATGTGCCTATTTTGGGGTGTCTCATACAGATAGAATCAGTTTATGGTACTGTGTGTCATTCCTATTTTATACCAGAACCCACAACTCAAACAGGTCAAGTTGTGCGAGTCCCACGGCTGGTAAGTGAATGCTTGGGCTTGCTTCTGACCGCTGTGTGCCGCTTCTGTAGGGAAGGAAATTGAGAAAGACAAAGTCGGCCAGGTCCAGGGATGCTTGTAATCCCAGCTACCCCAGAGGCTGAGGCAGGAACATGGAAAGTTTGGGCCCAGCCTGAGCAACTTAGCAAGACCTTGTCTCAAAAAAGATTAAAAAGAGAAAGAGACACAGAGAGAGAGAGAGTGAGTCTTAGCTACACTTGGAAAAATGAAGTTTTATTAATCTAAGGTAATAAAAACATGTAAAAGCCACAATTACAGCACCATCTCCACTGAGCTTGAATGGAAATACACGGGCAGCTCTTCTAGACAGCTCATGGCAGGGCCAAGGCTTTAGCCTAGTGGTGCCGCCACCTGCCTCGCATGCAAAAGGTCCCAAGTTCAGTCCCAGGTACCAAAAAAAAACCACAACCCACAAACCCAGCTCATGGCAAATTACTCGAAAGCACAGCCATCCCACCACCAGCTCTGTTACATCCTGTGGCCTGGCTTCTCTTCAGCCTTCAGCCCCATGAGAATGAGAGTGGGCTATAAAGAATCCTCTCTCCCCATGTTCTGCTCTGTGCCCAATGTCACCCTGCAGTGAAAGCACACCAGCACTTTTCCCCTTTTAAATCTGACATTCAGTTTCTAATACTAGGTATGATGAGAAAAAGATGAAGAATGTTGTCACACCTGGCTGTCAGCTAACCAAAGGCAGAGAGAACTATAAAAACCTAACAATGGGGCCGGGGATTTAGCTCAGTGGTTTCGCAGCCTGCTGTGCAAGTGCAAGGACCCGAGTTCGATCCCCGGTACCAAAAAAAACCCCAAACAAACTAACAATTATAATTCACATAAAATGCCTATCACCTAGCCACACCATTGCTGTTTTTTCCCCTGCTTTATGTACAGAATGTGTATAAAGTTTAGATTAGATTAGATAGTTGTAGCAAAGTTCAGGTCCTCCTAGTTCTTTTTATCCACCATCCAACAGAAACAAAGACTATTATGATGATAATTATAATTACTTTTTTTTTTAGGAGAAAGGCATATCAGGAAAAACCAATCTCCACTAGCTCTCTCCAATGTCTCTAACTCTATCCACTGTAGGTACCCCACTGACCAGCACACTCAAGGCACTCAAGAGTCTACTGTATAATAGCGAATATTTACCTGGCCACCAGGCACTATTTTAAACACAAACGTGTATTAGCTCCCAACCATCCCACAGGTAAGTACTATACAATCACTGTCTCCACATGAGGACTGCGGCCCAGGGAACTGTGATTTGCCCACAGTCGCTGTTAGCAGGGGGTGGAGCCAGTGTTGAAGGAAAGCAGCACAAATGACAGCATTCCAACAAGACACAGTGGAGTCACAATTTCTTAAAACTGAGAGGTTTATGACAAACTGCAACAACAGGAACTCTATTGCATCACAAAACAAGAAAAATATTTTTTCCTCTTCTACTTTTAAATACTCCACCTTGCCTTTCTTCAGAAGGGCTCAAAGTCTTTATCTCATTACTGCTGAACCCTCTGACCAAAAAGTAATAATAAAATAAATTTTAAAAGAATTTAAAAGACAGAAGTGGTCTAATCCCCTGAAGTTATGTGAAAAGAAGGCCAAGGATTTGGGCAGCAGAGCTGAATCAAAGAAACTTATTCCCTATTTAGTTTTCTTTATACAAGTCAAGACACTCTTATTTTATTATTTGGGGGGGGGGTTACTGGGGATTGAACTCAGGACCTTGCGCTTTCAAGGCAGGCAAGTGGCACCACTGAGCTAAATCCCCAGCCCAAGCCAGTCTTTTATAAAATCATTTTAGAATTCCATGCCTTTTTAAAATTCTAAAATAACACACACATATATATTTTCTACATTCTCCTGAGTGAATACAAAACTATCAAAATTAAGAGGGAAGTATTATTTTGTTTCTTTCTAGTACTTTGTGGTTAAAAATGAAACAAAAATGTTTGGTATTATATGGCACTATAAATATTAATATAAAGAAGCCAGGCATGGTGGTGCACACTTGTGCACACTTGGGAGGCTGGGGCAGGAGGAGTGGGCTACTTGGAGTCCAACATGGGCTACATACTTAGTTCAAGGCCACCCTGAATTATGTAATGGGGTCAAAAACCAAATTTATTTATTTACTTGGTCAAAAAAAATCAAATAAATAGTACATAAAGAGACATAAAAATTGTCTTACTACTGTTGCCATCCTTATTGTCCAATAATTTCAAATTTATGGTTAGCCCCTAATCTGCAATTCCGCAAATGCCATACTGCATCCAATCTAAAAGCACAATTCCATCCTTCAATGATTAAAACTTTCTCGAGGTTTGTTAGCTTAAGAACCGAGTATTCCTTTCCTTGACATTCCAAGCTCCTATTAATCAGAAACCAAGGTTCCAAAAGAAACCTGAGACTGTCTCTGAATGACTTTGACCGGATTGCAAAGATAGCCTGCAAAAGGGGAGGTCAAGGGCTAGCTGTCTTTTAAAGAATAGTTTCCACTAACACAATTATCAAAGTAGCTGGGAAGATGGCATCCCTAAAATACACCCAGCAGTTTTCCCTAGCGCACGCTTGCCCCCCAAAATAAAACCCTCCACTGACCTGAAGGGAAGCATTTTCCTGAACAAGATCAAATGGTTCCCAATCCCGTCATCTACACTGTCCTGGGTTTTTACCTGGGACACACAGTCATGAGAGTGAAGAGCACTGAATACACAAAGATGAGTTCATAATGCAGTCAACCAGAAAAGCCAGTGCGGCAAAAGACAAAGGTGTACTTGTATTTCTCAAATTGGCTTTTAAGGAACGAAAACGAGAAGCAAACAAGATGTCTTGGAAACCGCCATCCTGCTAAGGTGAATCTATTCTCCAGCTTCTTTTTGTAGGAGAAATTCTAAGATAGTTGTGTAAAATAAGGCAGTAACTGGGGGCTTTTCAAGATAACCTTTGAGAAAAACTTCGGATCAGGAAAAGTTGCAGAAAAGCACTGCCAAGGGACAGGGTGAAAGCACACGTGAGGGGAGCCTCCCTGAAAACATCAGCTCTTCTCACCAGCTGTTTTCAGGGAGCCTAAGAAACCAGTTTCCTCTGCAAGTCCATTTCTAGAACAGACGATGTCACAACCACAACTTCAGAGAAGCTAGTCATCACCCTAATCCCCTGAAGTAAAAACAAGAGTTTTTAAATTGGCATTTAGGCCAACTAACTGGAATGGTATCATTTAGGACCCTGTCAGAATCTTACAAGCTCATTTTTATCACCACTGTTGGAGTCTTGAGTTTAAGATAGTAAATATACGACTTGGGGAATCTGAGGTCCACACTAACTTGGAACAATCTATTCAACTTGCAACCTCAAGTTCAAACTTGCTGTCAGCGCCTAAACTGATGTTTCTGAGTATGTTTCAGACCACCTGCACCGGAATCCCAAGGCCTTTTCACGTTAGATTCTTAGAACCCACCCACCAGCCTCCTCAATCAGAATCTGCATGAGAGCCGAGAGGGCATTTTTAATCAGCTCATAGAGCGATTTTAAGAATCACTAAATTAAGGGCCGGGGATTTAGCTCAGTGGCACCATGCCTGCCTGGAAAGGGCAAGGTCCTGAGTTCGATCCCCGGTACAAATTTTTTAAAAAAAAGAATCACTAAATTAAACGCATGGCCATCTTTGCCATGTTGTCCCTTTTCCATTCCAAACTATATTCTAATAGGCACACAGCAGTTACTACATCCTCCAGTTCTCCACGGATAGCAGCTTAAAAGGAAACGAGAAGTTAGATATTGAAGACCGTGCACGATTTTAGGTGGTTTGGGGCCTCTGACACATCCCAGAAAGAGAATTATGTCCAGGAGGACCAGAGCAGCTAGTTCTTCAAGGGCTCAGGACCAAAAAACGATCCCTTCCCTCTAACATCTTCACCGTAAGCAGCATCTCCGGCCAATACCTGCCGCCCACCAGATACACTTCCTTTGCCGCTCTCAAGCCTATTTAAGGTACACACATTCCTGCTTCAAAGAGCTGCCTCACGACTGGTGTACAAGCATTTTACACACTAACACACACACATGTACACATCCCACTACAGTGCCAAGGCTGAGGAATCGGACACCCTGCCGACTGCTGTCCTCCATCCCTCCACTGAGGCTCGGACCACAACTGCCCCGCCCCACCCCGGCTCCCAGCAACTTTCCCCGCCCTCCCCGACACCGGCCGGCCCCGGCCCCCCGCCCCCCGGTCCGGCTCCCGCGCTGGGGGCCCGCACCCCCGTCCCGAAGGACGCCCTCCCCCTCCAGTGGCATCTCGGACGCGCCGGCCGGCCGGGCCCCCGGTCCGCGTCTTCGCGGGGATGTTTTGCAGGCGAGGGCTGCGGCCGCCCTCCCTCTCCCTCCGTCTCCCGGGCCTGTATCCTTACCCGCCGGCAGGCCGATTTCGGCGACATCGCCAGCAGGGCCGGGCTCGGGCCCGCCGCAGCCCGCGGCGCAGGAGGGACAGCTGTGCCTGTGCCAGCACTTACTGTCGCGGAAGAACTTCTGGGTTTCGTCCAGGTTCTGCCTCAGCCTCCCCAGGTAGCGGCGGTAGCGACCGAAGCCCCGGCACAGCTCGCGGATCATTCCGCCGCCGCCGCCGCCAGGGCCGGGACCCGACACCGGCTCGCTGCCCCACGGCGGCGCGGCGCCCTCCATCTCCGCAGCCTGCGTCCTCGCGGCCCGATCCTGGCCGCTGGCCCGCCCTTCCTTCCCGCCCCCCAGTGCTGAAGGAAGGTGGATTCCGCCTCCTCACGCCCCCGCTGGCCGTCAGCCGCGCTTCCAGCCTCCGTCACTGCCCGGGCAAACAAACTGACGTGCAGGGCGCCGCACACGGAACCTTTCCCTCCGCTCTCGGAGGGGAGAGGGAAGAATCACGGAGGGCACCCGCCCCGCGCAGGCTCCTGGGACTTGTAGTTTAGGCTGGGCCTCGCGCCAGAACCGCGAGGCTGGCCAGCCTGCGGATGCAACTGATTCCCCTTTCGTAAAAACCTCACCTGTTCTTGTACTTACATGCTCTCTTCGTTTAGAAAGTGTGTTCCTAAACCGGTGGTGGTGCACGCCTGTAAACCCGCCACTCTCGGGGTCTGAGGAGGGAGGATCTAAAGTTCGATTCCTTACTTGAGAGACCGGCTCTCAAAATTATAAAACTAAAAAGGGTTAGGAATGTAGCTCAATGCGAGGGCCCTGGGCTCAATCTCGGGTACCACACACAAGAAGAAATAAAACTGTGTTCCCGCTCCCTGCGTGAGTGGCCCTGAGGACAGGGCCAGCAGAAGTGGGGTGCCTTATTGAAATCTGAGCAAAAGATTTTAATAGCAGAGAAAAGGAAGGAAGCAAGACCGAGGCCAGTAATATCTCCATGGTGACTCTAAATGGCTCTCGGTTTGCGGACACAGCAGCTACTGGAGAATCGGCCGAAAATACCTTGGGGATAGTGAAATCGCTATATTTGTGTTGCTTTCTCCTCCTACTTTCCTCCTCCAGATATAGGAGGGAGGGTTCGTGAAAGAGTCAATAAGACCCTGAAACTGAAGTACAGTTGGTTTCGTGGAGGAAGGAGACTGGGCCGGTAAGAGGAAGCTGAGGTTTGTAGCCTTCCGAACCACTTCTGATTATCTTAACGAGGTTTCTGCCAATATTCAAGGTTTCCACTGACTGTTTCGGACCCCTGGACACAGTTACGAAGTGGGCAAACCTTTTTTTCTTCTTCCCGTTTTCTCTCTCCTCTTCATCAGGCACAAAGCCCCATCTATGTCTTTCTTGGGTGGAAAGATTTCATCTTTACCCAGGACAGACATCTCTGAGACTCTAAGTGGTGTTGTTCCTCAAGAGAATTGAAGGGGAGATTTGAGTTTGGCCCTGGACCCACACTTGCACTCCCATGGCCATGCCTTGCCTTGTAACCCCAGGCAAGATCCTGTCCTCACAATGTAGTGAGGTTTGGACTAGTTGATCTTTTCCTCTCTCTGAGTCCTGCTTTAAAAATTGACCTCCAGGGGCCGGGGATTTAGCTCAGTGGTTTCGCCGCCTGCTGCGCAAGCTCAACGACCCGAGTTCGATCCCTGGTAGGACCCCCCAAAATTGTCCTCCAGTCTCTTGCCTCTGATCGAATCTTGAGTTCAGGTGCCCTTAACTAAATGATGTCAGGATACTCAGATGGATTCAGTGTGAAGTGTGAAGGCGTTCTCCTTCCCAGGACTTTCAGCATATTCTAAAAAGAGGTCACTAATTCGAGTCTGTGCTTGGTAACCATGATGACTAGCTGTGAGGAGGAGGCTCATGTTCCTTCCCATTTACTCCCGGTCTTACTTGGTCACCTTTTCTCCACGGGCTATTCCTCTTCTTTGCAAGGTGGTATTCCCTGCACACCACACACACACACACACGTGCGTGCAAACACACACACCAAGGCTCAGTGAAGCAGAAAGGAAAATACAAAATGGGAGTTTAATACAACGTGGTTGGTGCTATTTCTAAAAATAGAAGAGATGTAGCAAAGTAATGTATGATTGATTGCTATACACAATGATTTCCAGAAAAGGGAGATCAGATGAGAAACTGTGTAGACTGGCGTTTTCTAGAAAAGCAATCTACCTTAAGGGGGGGGGCATATTTTGGATAGATGGAAGTAATCAGAGAGGACATTATTTAGGGATTCGTTTTATTTTAAAAGCCCTCTATTGATGGATCTTTTAGGATTTTTGCAGACTTTTAGTATTACAAACAATGCTTCAGGAAATAGCTTTTTATAAACATCATTTTGAATCCCCCCCCCCGTATGTGCGTGTGTGTATGTGTGTATGTATGTACTGGGGAGTGAACCTAGGGTCTCGTTACTCAGCTATATCCCCAGCCCTATTTTTTTTTTTTTAGTTTTGAGATAAGGTCTTCACTAAGTCACACAGGTTGGGCTCAAACCTGTGATCCTCCTGCCTCATCCTCTAGAATGCTGGGATTGTGGGCCACCACAACCAGCCTACTCTCGGTTGGTTTTTTTTAATCTGCTGAGGAAAAACGATATATTTTGTTATTTAAAAATCAAAGGATACGTGCTCGCTTTGGCAGCACATATACTAAAAATCAAAGGGTATGATGAGTCCTTAAATCACAATAACCTCCAGCAAAAATACATATTTTATTCAAATATCCAATTCAAAGGACAAATGAGAGCATTAGGGATTCAAGTGGTAAGAAGAAAGGATTTAAATTAGTGTAGGAAACTGTTTCCCAAAAGTGATGAGAGCTAAACATTTAATGAAGATAAACATACTTTAGTCTCTCCTAGATCACCATTAAAATGGGAGTAAGGGATTTTTATAAAGCATAAAGTTACAGTAATGCGAGTGACCAAAAATTTTTAAAAAGAGAGAGTAACCAATAGAAAAGAAATTGGCAGGGGATTTAGCTCAGTGGTTTCACCGCCTGCTGCTCAAGCTCAAGGACCCGAGTTCGATCCCTGGTACCAAAAAAAAAAAAAAAGAAAAAGGAAAAGGAAAAGAAATTGGCAGAAGGTAGAAAGCAAATGGACAGTATTAACTAAGTTACCAGCCTGAGAAACCTGAATCCTGAGCATGAAGTGGGAAAGCTGAGACCCGGCCTGCCTCCCACAGCAGAGGGAGGCATGTGTGAGCAACGGTGGCAGCAGCTCTCTGCCGACTTCGGAAGTACAGGAGCTGCCCTATGCGGGTGGTGCAGGGACCCTGAGCAGGAATTAAAGGATTTTGAGAACTGTTTAAAACCAATGAAGTCCTTAGGTCCCCTTAATCCTCCTCCCAGGAACACTGAAATATGTGCTCTCCAGAGAGGATTAAGGAGGAGCTATGAGCAAGAAGAGCAAGTGAGTATACGGACCTCAGAATTCCAAGGATTTACTTGCCAAAGAGCAAACTGGAAGCAACTTCTTCAAGGAATCTGACCAGGCCAAGACTAAAAACTCAAAGACACTGACAACAGAATAGAGATTTTGAGGATTTCTGGGAGCAGGCAGAATCCGGCTTACTCGCTGTAGTATCTGCTGCACCTCCTAAGTCACCCAGTAGTGTTCATTAGATGTTTGTTGAATGAATAAGCGTTCACTGTAGACAGTTTCAAATATTCAGGAAGGCACAAAGGAGAAGTTAAAAACCACTCATAGGGCCAGGGATTTAGATCAGTGGTTTCACTGCCTGCTGCGCAAGGACCTGAGTTCGATCCCCGGTACCAAGGAAAAAAAACCACTCGTATTTCTACTACCTAGAAAGAACTGGTAGATTATATTTGTATCTATTAATGTTGTCATTGGAGGAAGAGGGGTAGATGAGAAATATATTGGTCTTTCTAACTTTACTTTTTTATTACAAGTTCTTCTTGGTTAGATGATTTCTAAAGAAATTCTGAAGACTTGTTTCTCTTGTTCATGTAGGTGGAAATCAGGTGCTTTTTATAGGTCACCAAAACACATTAATGTTTAATTTTTTCATGTGAATTAACAGGATTACACATATAAAGCATGAGTATTCCCTACTAGGCAGCAGAAAATCATAATCAAATCCAATAATTTTTTTAAAAATCACAAATTAGGGGCTGGAGATATAGTTTAGTGGTAGTGCTTGCCTAGCATGCATGAAGCCCTGAGTTTGAGCCCCAGTGTCACAAAACAAATAAATAATGTTTAAAATGCCACAAACAGAAGACAAAAATGCAACAAACAATTTTGCATTTCTGAATTTTTCAGAGGTATTTCTTCACTATTCAGTCAGTTGTCATCTTTTAAAGTAAAATTGGGCTAACCAAAAAAGGACAAAAATTATGTAAGAAAATGCACTTCATTTCTTAATTTTTCCTGCAAATTAAGACAAGCTCACCATTATCAAGTTTACCAGAGTAGCATATCTCCCCCTCCCCCACTCAATACTGATTTTCAAGAGGACGTGCCTGAGAACCCCTGGATCTAGATTACGCTGGGCAATCTTGCTCTCTTCCGTCTGCCTGTGTGTCTGTCCACTGCTGGCAGTGTTGCAGAACAGTGCTTTATGAACTTTAATGTGCACACGAATCACATGGGGATCTCGATAAAATACATTTCTGAGTCAGAAATTCTGCCGTGGCCCTTGAGAGTCTACAGTCCTCACAGCTCCCGGGAGGGGTCAATGCTTCTGCTCTGTGGGCCTCACTTTGAGCAGCCAGGCTATAAGGAAATAGTCCAGGAGTTGGCAAACCCTCCTGACTGAGGAAATGGGTCTTGCAGTCAAAGCAACCTGCATTCAAATCCTAGTTCTACCCCTTCCCATTTGGATGCCCTTGGAGACATGTCTTATTTTTTCTGATTCTTTGTTCCTCATCTGTAAAATGAGGATAATAGTACTGCTTTATAGGGTTAGTGTGAATATTAAAAAAGTTGCCAATTCAACCTCTAATTAGGTCAAAATAAGTTTTTTGTTTCTTTCCTTCTTTTTTTGTGCAACATTATCCTTGTTTATTTTTTTGTACTGAGAATCAAACTTGGGACCTTGAACTTGTGAGGCAGGCACTGGAACCACTGAGCTAAATCCCAGCCCCTCTTTCCTTCATTTTTTAGTTCTGGGGATCAAACTTGGGGTCTCATCCATACAAGACAAGTGCTCTACCACTGACCCACACTCCCAGCCCAAGATTTTTTTGTTGTTGTTGCTTTGGCTTTGTTGTGTTAAGAGCAGTGTGTTAGCTTTCCATTGCTATAACTAATTACCTGAAAAAAAATTCTTTTGGAGTCTTTATTTTTTGAGGGTTTTTTTTTTTTTTTGAAACAAAGTCCTGCAATGCAGTTTAGGGTTGACCTTGAACTTGCTATGTAGCCCAGGCTAGCCTCCAATTTACAGCAATCCTCT